TGGATGAGTTGGAGAGGGCAGGAGTGAGGAGGGAGAGAGAGGAGGTGAGGAGGAGTGAGGAGGAGAGGAGGAGGAGGAGGAGGAGGGAAGGCGGAGGAAAGAGGAGGAGGATGGAGCGGAGGCGGTAACGAGGAGGAGGAGTGAGGAGGGGAGACAGGAGGAAGGAGGTCGGAAGAGGAGGAGGAGCAGGAGAAGGAGGAGCAGGATGAGGAGGAGGAGGAGGAAGGAGGAGGAGGTGAGGAGGAGGAGGGACGGAGGAGGCGGAGCGAAGGAGCAGAGGGAGCAGGATGACGAAGGAGTTTGGAGTATGGATAAAGAAGAAGAAAAAGCGGTGGACATCGGACAGATAGGACGAGAATAAGACCAGAGAGTGGATGATTCGAACACGTCGAACGAATTACGAGAAAGCGGTAACTAAGTTGCAATGGGCGCTGAGAAGAAGAGGAGGAAGGAGAGGACCTATATATATATATAGCAGAAGTAGATTCTGATATATAGTAAAAATGGTAGTAGTAATTCATCTCTAGTATTCAAGGTGGCGCCACGTACACAAATGGCAGCGTCCTTGTTTTGTTTGGATCGGCACCAAAGATATGGTTGAGACGCCGAGCCGTAGCACTAGCTGTCTCGGTAGCATAGAAAATATTGCTTAGACAACGTAGCTGAGATGGGTTCAATGCTAAATATTACTTTCATGTTATTATTTGTTAGTATTGGTTATATCACTAGTCAAGAAGAAACAAACGTCATAAAACATACAGACTTGAGCCGGGAGTCAACGCTAGTATGGGGTCCAGGTCTTTGTACCGACTTTGTTGTCCCAGCAAGATATTTCTACATACAAGCTGTCGATATAAACCAGCAAAAGTAGGTGACATTTCGAGTAGTTTGTTATGTCCTGCACTCAACCTGCCTAATAAACTATAGATAGAGCTCGAAAATTTTGTTGTTTGTGCACGTGGCGTGCGGTGTGCTTGTGGCGCAACGGTCCGTTTTTACCCGCCTGGAGGTCGGCCAGCTCGGCTCGTGGGTCAAGATGATCCGCCTGGAGGTCGGGCAGCTCGACTAAATGCAGACTGTTGATTGTTTAATTGTGATTTATTATGTGTTTATGATTATGCTCTACACATAATAAAAAGTTATTGCCACAATAATGATACATTATATTAAAAAACAAAGGCACAGCGACGTAAAAGACTGTTTTCAGCACATGTCTTTGTATTTGAATTATATGCAATAAAGTTTAAATGATAATAATAGACGTTTAGACGTCGAAGCGTGTGAAACGTCTCACATGAATTAATCGGCAAGTCGAGCTGCCCGATCTCCAGGAGGTTCATCTCCACCCACGAGCCAACCTGGCTGACCTCCAGGCGGGTAAATTCACCACAATACAAGACGAATTGGCGGCCGGGTCGAGTTAACCGGTGCCCTGGCATAAGTTGTGCCTTGCAGAGCAGTTAAACGGCATTTACAGGAAGTTATCACTAAAAATAGGCAGAAGAGAGTGGAGAAACATTATATTAAGACTTTGGTAGTAAATACATTTTGTGTTTATTTACCATCTTTTTATTGATTGAAGACATCTCAGTGCCTGTGTTTTGACCCAACTTACGCTACAATGAAAGCACCTCTATTTCTGTAGGAAATGTGGCATAGGTGGAATATGTAGAGGTGGCATCAGTCTGCACGAAAAACGTCCACCCTTATTGGCCCAGCGGGCCTGTAGAAATGTATAATTCACTGGCCCACACTAGGTTTTACAGGCCCGAATCAATGATCATAATATTATGAAAAGAGAAACAGAACTCTTTGGTGTATTCTTAGAGATTTATTCTTTCATGAAATTGAACAAAAAATTATCCACTTTCCTCTCCCCCATCTCATTGTCACTGCCATCAACATCGTACTCATCATCATCACACTCATTCATAATAATCAGAAAGCTCATTTCGACTTCGACCAGTAACTTAGCCAACACGTTCAAGGCCACGTTGAAAACCAGAACCAGAAACCGGAAGTTGTTGCGACCTCTAGTGGCGACAAACACGCATGGTGTTGACTATAGTTACTCCCCTACTGATCGGGAATATGATGCCCTATCGGTAAATATCGATAAATTTTGTTCTCAGACTGATCATCACATAAAGAAGCTGAAATATCATTAATAGACCATTTACTCCATTTTTTTCCACTGGCCCATCGGGCTTGTTCATTTACCAGTTTCATTGGGCCCCACGGAAAATTTACTGGCCTTGGATACCGGGCCAGTGGTTAATTTCGCAGACTGTGGCATAGCTTATTATATTAGGTATGATGTGTACAGCATGTAACACGTACACTACACAACTTTTTCTGTATCTACATATTTTGAAATGTTGTTAGCAATTGTGCTTCCACATAATTGTCATGTCTGATTAAATTTATAATAAATATAACACTGCTACTGTTACTAACACCAATAGTGTTAGTAACTGTTTTCTCTGTAGGAATTTCAGATGGATAATTGGGTAGTTCATCCCAGATTGATAATTGGGGTCAATTAAATGTATTATAAGCAGGTCAAATACACAGGTAAACTCGATCATTTTGGGCACGTATACATCAAGCTGTAAAAACAGCATACCAATATTTTACTTTGGTTATGCCACAGGCCTGTTGCAGAGCGAAAGAGGGCTGTAGTACTAAAGCTGCACTACGTTTAGATCAGTAAATTGCCCTAGAACTTTTTATAATCTTACCTTGTAAAAATAGAATGACATCAAATTTGTAAAAGTAAAATCTGTAAATCTTGATTTCAACACTTTACATTGCTATTTTTGTTAGTGATGATTTCATTGGTCAGTTGCAACACAGGACAAGAGACAACATACATAAGTTTACAATTTCTGTTTAGAAGAAGTTTATCTTTGCCAAGCTTGACTTTTCTCACCTTTTTAATTGGCTCCAAATCCAGAGTTCCTACAGGTGGTGGCACTCCCTTATTATGCTATCATTCATAACCGGTGACTGGTTCAGGAGCTAATCACCAACTGTTTGTTACCGTTTTTCTGCAAAAACACATTTATGTCCTGAAATACAATTCTGAGATACATCTCCGAAGAAATTTTTCTGCATGGAAATTTTAGACAATGTTAGCCTTCTCAGCTGATTGAATATTATGCATACAGCCAATCTGTGCATCTCTAATCCACCAATATTAAAATGAACATAGAGTGGTGTTGTGAACCTATGTATGTGCAATTGAATTCTGATAAATTGTATTTATCCATTTACCTTGTTACATATGGCTGAAATTTTGTATAGTATATGTATGCCCTGAATTAGAAAAAAATGCATACATTCATGTGCAGTGCTTTTAATTTCCTTTCCAATTGTTTTCAACAGCTTTTCTGAGTCCCTTGGAGACATCTTTGAAGTGAAGCTAAGTCAGCAAGGAGGTGGCCCTGCAAGAGTATGGGTTCAAACACTTGATCGCAAGGATGGAACCTATTTGGTTCGTTTTAAACCATTTTCAACTTACAAAGATGTTCACATTTCTATCTTTCATGAGGGAAGGCATGTTGCACAGTCTCCATATTTATTAAGAGGTATGCTAATCTAGTATAAAATTCTTAACAAATATCAGTTATTTGTGGTACCATATAATATGTTCTGTCATATTTTTTAAATAATTTAAAGCATGATTATATGCATGGTGCACTCATTTTTCTGAGCAAATCGGTATTAAAGATAATTGTCTCTCTTATTGTCTTAGGTCAGTATATAATATTACTATTATTTCCCCCTGATATTTCCATCAGTGAATGCTAAAACTTCTTGAGACCATATCTTACATAACTATTTGGTCATGCAGAACTGCCAGTCATAACAAAGTCAGTTGTCATTCTTACACAATCATGTAAGACAGGTGTCGGTAGATTTTTACTTTGTTCCCTCCCGTTTGTGACGACAAAATGTCAGAGTATGCTATCATCTTATACTTGAAATTTGGCACTATAAGCAAATGTTTGCTGTTTAAGCAGGTACATACCATGCAGGTGTTCATGACTGGATTTAACATAGAAATTGTGGTTTATGTTTTAGGTCAAGTTTACCATGAAAACTGTTATTGCCCGGAGGCGTCACTTGAAAAGTGGTACGAAAACATGAAGTGTCCTGACAGTTATTCACAGATAGAAAGTGACTTGTCAGTCTTCAATAGTGTTGACATGAGTAAGGTTGTAAAGGAAGCTGTACAGAGATTCAACCAGGCTGGAACTCATAGCATTTGCCATTATGCTGTTGTCACCAATAAAGTAAGTTTAGTAACTGAGCAAAAAATTGTATTAAACCAATTTTAAAGCTGTTTTGGTTAGAGGTGTAACGATATACTAGGGTCACAATACGATATGTATCTCAATATGTAGGTCACGATATGATACACATCGCGATATAGAGACAGAAATAGTCGACATGAATGATATGTATCCTATTATAGTTACCTCATGTCATTGAAGTCGTGTTCTCAAATTATCATTCAGAAGAAATTCATCAAACTCTATGGAATGATTTTTATTCAGGTGTACCGCACATGTTATGGACAACACGTCGGATTCAAAATGTTTATGGACAATATCCTTCTATCACTTACAAGAAAGGTACCAACATTACTCAGCTGACATATATTTAGTGTTAGCATTGGCAAAAAATTACATAGATTAGTAACAGAGTGAATTAATCCCAGCTGTGTATCCATTGTTAGGTTACAGATCAGCCTGGTGTTACAGCCACTCTACTGTATAACGTAATTCACATGCATAAATGGTTGTTTGAATGTGTAAAACCATTCATCAAGCTAGAGATGTTGAAAAATTAAGCAACCTGTGAACAGATTGTGCAGATGATACATTTTTTGCAGTATCATTGGCCATTACAGTCGCATTTAGGGAGATCGAACAGAAAGTTTACATGATGCGCCGGTGCTTGCAGGTGTTGCTACCTGATTTCGAGTTGATTGTCAATCTCGGTGATTGGCCATTGGAAAAACGAGCTGCAACCAACAGTCCGCTTCCTCTGTTCTCATGGTGTGGGTCCACAGAGACTTCAGACATCGTCATGCCAACCTACGATCTCACGGAGGCTTCCCTAGAGTGCATGGGCAGGTATGTGATCTATGACTCACACTGGCAACTGTTGGCTGTCAGATTCTGGCAGTATTATGTACCCTGAATGTTGTAATTCTTGCTCAATGAGTTTTGAACAAGGAATATTAATAGTGCAGTCACAAAATTCTAACATTGGGATGAATTCATGCAAACAGTGAGTTACCTCCTTGACTTATAGGAGCTGGATCTACTAACTTATTGAGAACATTGGCATAGTTGTGTTGTATGTGCGTAAGATCCAGTATTCATTTTGCAATAGGGTGACACTCGACATGCTCTCTGTGCAAGCCAACACTGGGCCACAGTGGCAAAACAAAACCAGTAAGGCTTTCTGGAGAGGACGAGATAGTCGGCAAGAGAGACTGGATCTGGTGACCATGTCTAGACAACACCCAGATAAAATCGATGCTGCACTTACCAACTTCTTCTTCTTCCGCGACCAGGAGGACGTTTACGGACCAAAAGTTAAACCCGTCTCTTTCTTTGACTTCTTCAAGGTAACATATTTATTTGCATCTGCAACATCAAACTTTGGTAGGAACTTTATTGTATGGTTAATGAAAGTAGTAGTGCTTGCTTAATCTCAAAACATGTGAAAATCATAATTATTGAGTAAACATGATCTTAAACATTAAATGGTTTATTATTCTGGCCACATTATATGTTATTACTGTATTATGTGTTTTGTGTTAAAATACAAGGCTCACGAGTGGACTAAGTCAAAAACATTCCCCACGTGTGGACTAGCTTCTACATGCAAAATTTTCCAAGTAGCCGACACATTACATAGCATACTGCATGCATGGACACACGAATCGTACGTAAGTGTATTATTGACTAACAAAGGCACTTCATCTCAGCACAAGTACCAGGTCAACCTGGACGGCACTGTGGCCGCGTACCGTCTGCCTTACCTGCTGGCTGGAGACAGTCTGGTCCTTAAGCAAAACTCGCAGTACTACGAGTACTTCTACTCCGACCTGCAGCCAATGGTGCACTACATTCCATTCCAACGCGATCTGCGCGACTTGATGGAAAAGCTAGACTGGGCTATCGCACACGACGATTATGTAAGCTGCACGCATGCACGTACACAAAAGCGGATTTGCACTAGTGACTACGTATTAACCTTACAACTGAATTTTTAGCTCACCTTGACATCGTCAAGCTGAGCTATTGCCATGGGTCGTCGTCCGTCCTTCCGTCAACATTTGGCTACGGTCAACGATAACACAGGAACCGTTTGACCCACATGTTTGAAATTGGGTATAGTTGTTACTGCTATGTTCCCATATTGAACGTCCTATTTTGGAGCATGCCAGTCAACATACTTTCGAGCCACGGCAATTTTTGCCAAAAATGGGAATTGCCATTAGTCAGTTCAGGTTCAACGGATTTTGCTCATTTTTGGTATGTGAATGAATAAGGGCTAAAGGTTTAATATTTAAAACAAAATTATGCAAATTAGGTAGGTTTTGGCAATTATATAGCATATTATATAGACACGCAGATAACAGTCTGTGGTGTCACACTCGTCTGGTTCGTTTTACAAGATTTCATTGACAATAGCTTTAATGCAAAATTGGTATTTCCTCTCCAACCTGCCGATAAAACGTCTATATTAGAGTAAAGTTTTACAAAACATGTCGGAACGCAGCATAACCTATTTATTTCGAACGCCATCGCTAAGAAACATCAAAGCGGGTTTAGCGCCATCTACCGTCACAAATTGTGATTCATTTTGGTTTATAAATTATTATTGCGATATACAGATGGCAACCGTGTGCTACAGCCTAGAAAAACTCATACGAAGTAAACACTTCCATACAACCAATTAACCTTTGACAAAAGTTGTGTTATGGGCAGGGAAACACCATTGTCACGTGGTATATAGCAGCTACGTGGAATAAGCGTATCCTCTTAATCTTACACGTTACACATCGCGAGCTCCGCTTTTAGGCAGTGCCTAAATCTGAATATTATAAAAACGTTAAATGGCGATCATTTAGGTGTAACGCCATCACTCGCACACATCTCAGACTTTCACATCTCAAACATTTATTTTCACGTAAAAAATTACACATATATTATCAAGAGTATATAATGGGAGTTCTCCCATATATACTCTTCGTTTCTATAATTTACGTCGATGGTTGCTCAATAAAACTGACTTCTTCTCACTCACTCATTTGTGTCCTTTTTTGTGGTGAGCTACAGTGTCATTGACACTTTCATTCTAATTCAATTGCAATTCCAGTGGATTTTATGTACACTGATATTTTCTTTTGGTAATTGGCGTCGCATATAATCGTTGATAGTGATGTATCAAAGTAATTAAAACGTAGTGCATGCACATGAATGTCATTTTTAGCTCGCCTTGACATCGTCAAGATGAGCTATTGCCATGGGGTGTCGTCCGTCGTACGTCCGTCAACATTTGGCTACGGTCAACGATAACTCAAGAACCGTTGGACCCACATGTTTCAAATTACATATATTTGTTACTCCTATGGGAGACGTTTGAACGTCCTATTTTGGAGCACGCCAGTCGACCTACATTCGAGCCACGTTCACTTTTTGGCAAAAATGGAAATGGCTATAAGTCAGTTCAGGTTCAATGGATTTTGCTCATTTCTGGTATGTGATTGAATAAGGACTGGCCCCAAAACATATCACAGGGGTTTTGATTTTTTTTTTAATTATGCAAATTAGGCAGATTTTAGCAATTTCACTATGCATTTCAGTGTCTGCCTACGGTCAACGATAACTCAAGAACCGTTTGACACACGTTTCAAATTGCATACAGTTGTTACTCCTATGGGAGAGATTTGAACATCCTATTTTGGAGCACGCCAGTCGACCTACTTTCGAGCCGCACCCACTTTTTGGGAAAAATGAAAATGGCCATCTAGATTCATTCGATTTTGTTAAATTTTGGGATATTAATGTGTAAGACTAGCCCCAAAACAGTTGTTACTCCTATGGGAGAGATTTCAACATCCTATTACGTTTATTTTGTCTAACTGGTTAACAACTCTACAATCATACCTATATATACGTGTATTATTGTGTTTTAGATTCTTCGTTACAGTAATTTGACTGGAATATTTTATTGTTTTTATTTGCACGATATTCGAAAACCAAAATGGCGATCATTTAGGCGTAGCACCATCTCTCGTCAAGATTTCAGACTTTCAGATCTGAAACATTTATTTTCGCATCAAAACTTATGCATATATCATTATCAAGAGTATATAATGGGAGATATGCTATATAATGGGAGTTCTCCCATATATACTATTGCTTTATATATCCCTCTTCTATCACACCCAAGGTGAGCTACAGTGTCATTAACACATTCATTTATATCAGGCTCAAGAGATTGCGCAGAATGCACAAGCATACACTAGGAGCAACCTGATGCCAGCCGATGTATTCTGCTACCACGTAAAACTGTTTCAGGTAATTTGAAACTTCACCTTGGTTCAGGTTATATAGAGGCATACATCACCCAAGTACCCATCGGGAGTTAGTGCCACACTAGCGATATCTGCCATATGTATGGATTAGTTGTGTGATGATACACCAGGTTTATGATAAAATATGTATTGCAATATGTATTAATACAAGGGAGTATGTGTCTGGGAGAGAGATGGGAATTCACAGAGTTCATTTCATGGGATATTCATAGATATATAATTTCTGTAAAATAAAATTTACTGCATACTTACCTTTGTTTTTAATTAGGTTAACTAATATATCTGCATTGAATGACAGGAAACAATACAATCAATTCAGTGGCTGAACAATGCCAAATATTTATTACATCTCTCTTCTAATACAAATTGGTGAATACCGAGGTAAATGTGCTAGGAGATTGATGTGAACATAACAAATAAAAATCCTGTATGTACTATTTGTTTCTTTGTGATTTGCAGGAATGGTCTAAACGTGTCGCTTCCAAAGCAAAGGTTGCAAAGGGTATGGACCTTGTACCCCAGAGTTCTGACTCCTGTGACTGTGATAGACAAGTTAATAAACAGAACAAAGATGAACTGTGAGCAACAAATATAAGGCAATACTTGAGATATTGAGACTATATTTTATATAAAAATTAAACATTACACAAGATCAATTATAGAATTTTATGATAAAAATCTAAAACACTAATGTCGTACAATGTAATTGTATATGTGCAAATGATGTAGAATAATACTGAGCTAGTATATATTATCTCAAGTATACTAATATAATATACAAATGAAGTACATTAATATATGTGCTTCTGGAAAAACGGAAAAGCACTTCGAAAACACAGCTATGGTTTTCATGTGTCAGTGTGTATGCTCTGTAGTCGAGTAAAAACAAATTCACCAGAAAAATCTGAGCATTTTATGAACAAATTGTTGGCATAATCAAAATAGACTAAATTTTTTATACAAAAGACATGTCATTGCTAAAATGTTACACCTTCCAAATCATGAAATGTATCTTTTTAAAAAGCCTCTGCCTATCAAATCTCACCAGCAAAATCCTCTCTTGATTTCCGTTTTAAATGTGTACTTTCCGTAGCAACATTCATCTTTCTTGCAACATTTAGTTTTTGATTTAGATAAGCAAACGTGTTGTTGAAGGTACAAAGTTCACAACTTTAAATTCAATTTTAAGAATGAGGATTTTACTCATTCATCGTGGTAGAATGCTTTTCAATTAACATTTTTTTTAGTATTTGGAAGTTGTAAATTTTTAATAATAATAGATTTATGCTCATATTGTTTTCTATCATTTTTGGTTTCGTACTTTTTATGAAGAGACATTTATAAATCAAGACAGTTTCACTGATATTTTGCGGTTTTCACAGATAAGACCAGGTAAGAAAGTAAAAATTTTACTGTAATATCCTGCAACCCTTTTCAACAATATCACATATAAAATTTTCTCGTATATTGAAGTGATACTGTTACCTTTATGGCATTGCTATTACATTTGCTAAGCCTGTTTCGATCCTTACATTATTTTAGCTTTATCACACTGTTTATCTGCAGCTGCTTTACATTACTAAACAGCATTAACACAGATTATATAACTCCTCTTGACCTTAATATGTTGTTCTATACAGTGTTACAACCACCATGATTTGCCCATAGGAAGTAACGTCTGTGCATTTCTTAGCACTGTGATAGACTAAGGTGTAAATGGTGCTTGTATGATTTGATATCAAGATATATTTTGAGATTATATTGATAAAAAATATGTACTGATTTACACAAGACTTGCAAATCGCACCTGATTCAATTTCATAGAAGTGTTATAGTAATTAGATTTGCATTGGAAGGATCCACTGTTGTGACACATGATAGTATAGTTGTATGTTTTGTAAAGCTTACCTTACAACAATGTACTCAGTTGTGGTAAAGACATTTTGAGATGCACATGTTTGTAAATGATTTTTATATGCATTATTAAATTTGCAACTGTTTTCAACCAATCAACCTTTGCTGATAATATAGTTATGAACCTTTTTATTGCACATACCTTCTGAACTACTACTTAGCCATCTAATAGAAGTTTACATGGGTCATTCCATCTGGCATGTATTGTCCTCCTACAGGCTTGTAGCCTTTTCCATAACCTATCTCTTGCATGAGCCGAGTTGGTGCATTTCTAAATGTGATGGGAAAAATTTGACCGAGGTGATTAATGCAAATACTGTAAAGTAGTATGTTATATAACAATACATTTATACTTTATTATGGCAAATTGCAAAGTGAGTTCATTAATATGACAAGATCTTGCGTGTACTGCAGATTTTTGGGTGATTTTTCGCACAGACATTAATGAATCACAACTTCCCAGCACATTAACAGCTCAACGCTGGATTTCAATTAGCTTAAATTGCTAAATCCCATGCGTCACGTCTCTCAGAACCGAGCAGGCGTCAGAAAATATATGTTTACCGTAGGTGCAGGGGCACCGGGGGTAGTGCCCCCTGGTGATCCTGGATGCACTTGCGCGCCTTTTCGTATGCGGAACTTATCTCACAACTCTTCGGAGCTCTTGCGAGGTATGTTGTTAACTGTGCCAGCAATATCTGAAGTATACTGTTGCGACTTATCAAATATTCAGTAGACACAGCAGTTAGACTGTCCACTCCAGTTTGCTAGTTTTACTTTTATTGAGCATTCAAACGTCACAGGGATTGTATTAAACTCAGCTTCTAAGTTCTTTTCATGCCCATGACAATTTAGTTTTGCACAAATTTACATGCAAAGGATAGTCATATTTTGGAACTAAACAACATGGCTTGCAAATGGAATTCATATCAGATTGGTGCCATATACAGAATGTCCTTACCCCACAAGCCGGCATTCCCATTGCATGGCAGCCTTGGTGTACTGCTACGGCATGTGTCAATGCCATGGGATCAGCTAATCCTGGAAAAGCATGCTAAATATAACAACAAAATCGAAGAACCCGGCAATACATGTTAAATACCAGTAGCAGCAAGCAACCACATGCGTTGTTTGTAAATTTACATAAAATGTTTAAAAAAGAAAAAAAGTGGTGGAAATGCGAACATGTGACCTCTAAGCATTGCATCATCACAACCTATGAGAATTTAAAGTGTATCCTATAAAAGGCTATAATCAAAGCATATTCTGAAAAGCTGGAATAGTAAACATAACAAAACTAGTGGAACTGAAAAATTAAATGGTCATTTGTGCTACGTAGTCTCCATGTACGCGAATCATAATTAACAAGCATCTTGACAATCTTCATTGTTTAAAATAACATAGCTTTCTTATAGCCCAGGCCACTATTAGTGGAAAAACGTGAGCAGGCACTACCACTCACCGACGTCACCCGTCGCCGCATCAAGGAGACGTCGCGCAACAAACATGGGATCCTCTCCTGCTTCTAGCATTCGTACTAGCCAGTAGAGAGCAGCATTCTCATCCGAACCCCTTATAGACTTGTGCAGGGCTGATATCGCATTGTAGTGCTCTTCACCTTAAACAGGTTTCATTATTATCAGCAATACATTCAGAAAGAGAACTAATAAAAACCCATATACGCTATCAGGAGTTGAATTATAATAGATTCTAATAATAGATCTATTATTATTCACTCCTAACGCTATTGCTTCCAGTACGTCAACATCATCTAACAAGAGACCTGCTCTATTCAATATATATACTCTCCATATAATATGTTGCTTTCAGTCCCCAGCTTTAATAAAGCTGCTGCTAACTCCATCACGTTCTACACCCATTTAAACAGCAACACTTTTGTTTGAAAACATCAAATATTCACGTGTGTGTAAACTCAGACAACATGCAGCCGTTGGGCCAACGTTGGGCCAACGGCTGACTTCAGCACATGCCAACATTGGCCCAACTGATATTTGCTTGGCACACCAACGTTCGGTAGCCAAAGTAGTACCAACTAAAGCTCAAACTGAATGGAAGAAAGTATACCGATGAGACTTGCTCCCTATTTGGGCATATAAATTTTTGTTAAAATACAAGGTTGAAAACAACTGTTGATCACAATTATTAGTATAAATAATTGCACAGATAATAGTTATGCAAATATTCTCAACTTTCAAAATTAGCATTAGAATTTATTATAAACAGTAATAATTACACAAATATTATTTGCAGAATTATTCACATATAAAAACATTACACTATAGCATTACATTTGTTCCATGGCATATTGCACTGAAAATCTAGTTTGGCAACATTGACAAAGAGAAGTGTGTCTAATATGTATCACGTACCGGCTCGATCATAAAGTAAGTGGGACTGCTGCAATCCTTCCTTGATATGTTCAGTAGTGATAATAGTAAATGCATTCTCCACATCTCCCGATATTTCACAATCTCCTAGTATAAATCACGTACAAATTCACTACTACACTGTGTGGCAGTTCAAACATTAAACACAACAAAAAAATTGGCATTGTGCTAGTAGAATATAAACCTAAGATAACAGATGTAAGCACACTATGCAAACTATTTCTATACAGCACACTGATATATAAAAAGCCTTTCAGTGCTCATTAAATTGCACATCATTGGCAATCATCGAGATTTGAAAATGGAAACATTTAATATTCCTTTTGGATGATCCACGATTATGCATCAATTATGTATGCCATCATCGTTAATCTTTGTATATTGATCAGTTGATAATAGCAATTTTACACAAGCTAATAATACAAGATAATAATATTTTAGACAAATATCTACAAACAACAACAAGGCTTATCAATTCCTAGTTTTTGCCCTTCTTTACCTCTACTAGAAGCAAGCTCTTTTCTCAACATAAAATCTGCTTCTTGGGCTTGCACCGCCATTTGTAGGCCATTCAAGGAAACTCTAGCATCTCCGTCACTAAGGCCTGCCAAGACGTCTACAGCCTTTTCTTGTATATACATCACTGGTCTACAAAAAAAAACACTTTACTTGCTAATGCAGGCAACTTAAAACCTAAACGCGTAAATAAGAATGCACAGGAGATGACCACTGTCGAACGTGAAAACCATGTCGTGCAAAAGCACGATTTATGTCAAAACAAAGGAAGCTACATGGTTTGTAACACTACCGGAAGATAGAATAAGGACCAGTGAACAAAAGAAGCTCATGTTTGCATAAATTTGTATTTTTATTCACATCGAACTCGTACGACAAAATGTAGTGAAATCAGTACCAAATACGTGTCAAACTCCTTTGTCTTTATTAGCTCCTGATGTAGTGAAATCAGTACCAAATACGTGTCAAACTCCTTTGTCTTTATTAACTCCTGTTATGATGTTAATCTGCAGAGATACAATTCTCTACATATAGTCAGGCGGGTTCTCCTAGAAATAATCTGACCACACAGATCACAAGATTCACCAACATAACATAACATAACAAACAAACGGAAACGAAACAGGCATCTCATACACACATGACAAACGAGTTTCAACTATTGCGGGTTTCTGAACCTGCCCAGTATACTCACGCTCTCGAATCTCCCTGCACTGGCACAGCAGCAGCAGCGCCCTCTACCAACACACCAATGTTGAGCTTCATCAGCGCCCTCTGGACAATGGCACGGATGTCGTCGATGGTCAGCTTTTCTAGCACAATGACGCGACAGCGACTGAGCAGCGCGGAATTGATGTGAAATGATGGGTTCTCTGTTGTTGCACCAATCAGGGTCACAGTGCCGTTCTCAACATGTGGGAGGAACGTGTCCTGCAGGAATAGATTGTGATATGTCACATCAAGAGCACATTAATTATTTATCTATTATGAACTATTACCTAAACAGTTTGTGCATGCATGTGCTCTTGCTCACACGTACAGATACACCAGCCAGGCCTCCGTATTACTGATTGCTGTTACTGCGACTAGTGTAGCATTGCAGGTGAAGAGCGAATGCACGTACATCTTTACATAGAACGTTCCCCGACTAGTTACCGATTCTTTCGAGATGGGGAATAAGCTTCCCAGATCATGGGGGAGTATTAGCCCCCCCCCCCTGTGCACCCCTCTGGCACAAACAGCACTTCAGAAATGAATTCAGCTCAAATATCATGACGCATGAGTGACGCACCATCATACAAATCCAGCTCTCACGAGCACATCACTTCGACACAAATTACATAGCTTAAACGCACGTGGTTTGCATGAGTAGATCATGCAGGTTGGTATTACACACAACGTCACGAGTCTATTAATAGGTCAACGAGGACAACGTATGATAGAGGTTCGCATTAGCACATCAGGCAAGCATTCTGCACCTGCGCGCACACTACACGCAAACATGCACATGACTTATGAACTCAAGCACAGCTCCATTATAACTGCCACACGTATACACACCATGTCAGTATAGTCACAATCAGCTTTGGATACTAGTATCATAGTAGTGTTATGCTAAGCCTTATACACTTTTTATCTCTAAATATATACCTGTTGTAATTTGTTGAATCTATGAATCTCGTCAATGAACAGCACAGTTTTGCGCCTAAACATCTTCTGTTCATTTCTGGCCTGTGTGATCGCTTGTTTGACGTCTGCAACACCGCTGGTCGTCGCAGACAGCTGCACAAATCTGGTGCTGCTTTTCTCCTTGCACCTTTTTGCTATTATCCTCGCTAGAGTCGTCTGTGGGGATTCGATATCAAAACATCACTTGCATCAGTGCTGCTAACAGACATTCTAAAAAATAATAGAACTTTAAACAAAATAGTGCTTTTTACTCTCCAACTGCAAGTGCAACTAACTATATGTAGGCTTTATTATGATAAATATATATATTATATATATATATATATCAGGACTTGAAACTAACCTAAAATGTTCACTAGCCAGCAGGGCTAGTGACCTGTAAAATCTACTAGCCCTTAAAAATATCTACCAGCCCTTACTTTTCTGAAATGCGGCGCTGAAGCTACGCGGTGAGCACAGTTTTGCCATTTCCGGGGGGTGGGGGGGGGGTGAGGTGGGTGGATCTGGGTTTTGATTTTAGATGCTCTGAGATGCATTCTGCAAAATTCATTGACTGTGAAAATCTAAATTCAGTATAGATTCAGTATATACATCAGTACTATGTTATAAGAGCAGAATAATTATATTCCTTATACTTATAGTAACGATTAGAACTATTAGTCAGTTTACTGGAATGTGAAAGTTCATGTTTAAGTTGAACCATTTGTGAGTATCTCTACTACAAGTACAGGGGTTGTTATAGTAGTTAGTACAAGTACTGTATAGAGTTAGAAGTCGAGTTATCCTGTTTGCGATAGTTGGAGATTTGTAGAGTTGTATTGCAATTATATTAGTTGACTGAATATAAGCCACATAGAAGCGTGTTAAATGCTAGTGTTATGATGAACTTCGTATTATAAAAGCTAAGAATACCAGTTACAGGAATGTAGGTTTAAAGGTATATATATATGCAGGTTATTTTCAAAACAGTACCTGACAAAACCGTGACTACTCTTCCACGTCAATTATAGACACAGAGACTGGATTGTGTAGGATATTAGCCAGGGTGATTCCAACTGAGTATAAGTAAAGTTGAGTTTCTAATTTGCTTATTTAGCAAACGTCAAATTGAAATAATCTTTTCGTTTGAAAAGGGGTAGTGTTTAACCCTGAGGTCAGCTGAAATGTAAACTAATGGTAATAAACCGGCCCACGAACATAAACAGAAAGTAGAACGGAAACGTATTGCGTATACACTGTGAGGGGATTAATGTGGTTTAATCCGGTAGTAAAGTCTACAGTGTCCAATATGGCAGCGTTCAGCACCATGACTGGTAGTAAAGTCTACAGTGTCCAATATGGCAGCGTTCAGCACCATGACTGTTATGTTTAGGTTTGGCAATTTTATTATGTTTGCACACGCAAGTTTTATACTACTTATTACTAGTTCGGTCAGGTTAGTAGTTGCTGAAAAAGTGCTAGTAATATGTTATCTGGTAGGCATTCCCACTCGCCAACAGGGCTGGTCAGCCCAGACATTCTACTAGACCTTACTAATTTCTACTAGCCTCGGGCGAGCGGGAGAGCGTTTGTTTCAAGCCCTGATATATATATATATATAGAATAGTTCTTCTGATATTGTAATAGCAAAATATTAGTGAATTACCATGCACTAAGACTTACTTTACCACAACCTGGTGGTCCCCAAAGCACCATAGATGGTATTTTGTGGGCTTCTAACAAACTGCTCAGCATTGTATTTTCTCCAATGGCTTTACTTTGCCCAATGTAATCTAATATTGACGTTGGTCTCATCTGTTCGGCCAGTGGCTTAAAATTGTCATCATCGGGCTTCAAATTCAATAGCGCCTCACTACTAGTACTAGTGCTAGTACTACTACTACTAGGTACAGCTGAGACACTTCCATTCACTTTAGTTTGGTTGGATTGCGTAGTGACGGTAGTCGTATCATTTTGCTCTGATTGTTCTTTGCTTTTACTTTTATTAAAGAAAATCCCCCATGGTTTGGTACTACTAGTAGTACTGGTACTGGTAGTACTAGTAGTAATAGGCCCACTAGTGGCAGTGCTAGACGTAGAATTACAAATAGAAGTGGAATACTTCTTGTTGGCAATGTTGTCGACGGCAGCAGAGCTAGGCGTAGGTGTCAACTTCACAGTATCACCTGCTTTTATGCATCTATATTTATCGTGTTCACGTGAACTTTTGTTCCCCACAGTAACACTAGCAGGGGACACCAATTGGCTAAGCTTGTCTTTGTTTTCTAAAATAGAAAGCGAACACGATGCCGTCGATGGTGAGGCTGATAAATTGTCCTGATACTGATAGTGATAAATAGGCCTAGGCTGACAGTCCTCATTCGGTTTTAGTCGCTTTTGAGAGCGCGGTGGAGATGCAAAGTCACTATCTCCACACTTTTTCTTTCTTGTGATAGCACTGATAGGCGTATTTTCAGACAACACGTTTAAACACTGGTTCGCATGTTGATTTATTTTACTTAATTCAAAATAATTTCCACAAATTGGGCAATAAACTTCCCCGCCTTCCTCCATGTCGAAGCTTTGTGTTGATAGGGGGCGCGGAATTAGCAGAGATAATAAATTCGTGATTGGTCATTTCAGTAGCCCACTGTCGAATACGTCGCTTGTTTTAGCGTGGCTGCCGAAAGAGCGTTTTATCAAGGTTGTTGTTACAATTTTAATTATTTTACTGTCTCAGTTATTAGTTAGTGTACTATTTCACGTTTACGTAAGCTGGGTGTCAGTGCGCACTATTAAATTATGGGTGTATAGTTAGTTAATGTGAGTAACTCTAAGCCTACAATCCACTCACGACCGATAATATGCGTCTAAACAGAGGAATTGCTCCGACCTGTGATTGGAGGATAAAAATAGACCCCGCCCACTCCCGCCGCATACGCTATTAGTATTATGCTATCTGGATCTGGACGCTATTATGCTATCTGTTATGACCGGTAGGAACGTGTACTAACTATCATATGGAGCGAACGATTTGAGTTACATTTCTATAAATTCTAGCTATTGTCAAGTATTGAGTATTGTATTATAGACACATGTCATGTCTTATCCTTAATCTCTGTGAACTATTGAAGCGCGATTAGTCTAATTAATTAGCAAATATGCACGCGCGGCTATGACCGGTGTCGGTGAAACGAAACGTCACGAATTCTATTTTTATTTTCCAATCACAGGTCGGAGCAATTCCTATGTTTAGACGCATGTCACGACTGTGGCTGAGAGGGTCTATGTCCCTAAAAAAAGCCCATAAGGGTACTGCCGGAAGCGGCGGAACGTACCCTGGGTACGGTCCGGTATACCGGAACGTACCCTGGTTCTATCTAATATGCCGGACCGTTACTCGCCTACTCTACTGGCAGCAAGAACAAGTCCGCACCTGCAGCTACAGCACACACGTGGCCATTGACTATATATATAACAACATGGTGCCTAACTCGCCGCCGCAGTTTCCACAACTCACCGTTTTCAATCAGTTACAACTTCGGTGTTCCTGCAGGTAACGCCACTTTCCAACTATAGTTGGAATCGCAGAAGACTGCTGAACAAGCTACACCCGCCATTTTTGACAATCGGCCCGCCAGAATGCGCTCAAATCACAGAAATTCCTCAAATATCCATGCGAAAAGATCCTTCGAATGCTACCAGGCAAAAAGGCGGCATGCCCAACCGCTGGCGGCTGCGCTGATTGGCCATGACTCACCCCGTGATTCAACAAAGTAGTTGCGGCAGCGTGTTGCACGTTAAACTTGCGTGCAGCAATCGCGCAGCCGCCAGCAGTTATAGAGCAGTTTATACTTTGAGTTGAATTCTTAACTTGAGTTAAAGTTTAACTCAGAGCTTAAAACTTTCCGTTCCACAGTCGTGGATTAACGTTAACTCTGAGTTAAAATTTACTCTGAGAGAGTTAGAGTTAACTTGAGTTAGGGCTTCATCCCGCGGGGATGAAATGAAACAGGGGGGAGGGGGAGGGGGCATGGGCGGGGGGGGAGGAAGAGGGAGGGAAACTACTGGCCGTCGCGGCGGTCCCGGGCCGCCGACGCCCCCTCTTCTCTATCGCACACCTCTTCTGCTTCCGACAATCCTCGGCCCCGCGGTCCGACCCGCCACAATCAGGTGGGCGTGTTTTTACCGTACCACTACATTAATGCGTAAAATCGCCACGCACACCGCATTAGCGGTACTTCTATTGTGGCCGGTTCTTGTATATATAAGATGCAGCCGGATAGCGGTTACGTAGTGTTGGGTTCAGGTACAGGGTTAATCTGTCTTTACTTTGTGTATGGTCTGGCAGTGCATTGCGTGGTACCGGTAAAAAATCACGCGTCGGGTCCTGGTCGAAGATGGGAATTCTTGGCGATCGATTCCGCGGGCGCTGTCAACTTTTATTGTGTGTGGAATTAATCGGGGGGAGGTAATTCAAACGGCGCGCGCAGACGATTGAAACAGGGGGGAGCTTTTCCCAAAGCGGGGCGCGGGCGCCCCGTCTTGCTTCACGTAGGGAGAACCTGTGGTATGAACCGGATTAACTCTTAACTCAGGGTTCAAAATCAAGTTTACATTTCGATTTAGTTGTAGATAGTTTTGCGATATAATCCTTTTAGAGCTAGTTTCTACGAGGTTTAGTTTTAGCTCAGGGTACTAGTACTACAGCTAATTAGTTTTATCTAGTACTGATCCGTGTCCGATCCCCCGCTGCCGGTGGACACATAGGTGATTGGTTTACATTTGTTGTACAGATTGCGGCCACTTCATGGCCACCGTACCAGAGCTGTCCGTACTGTGATAGTATGAGGAAAATGTTACGCTATTAGTGATGTCGCAATAGCCGCGTTTGGCAACAAATATTTTTCCTCATTTTTTTATCGCTGCCAGTTTTCATTATAACGTTTTTTTCATGTAACCACTTCTATACCAGCATGTTCGGCATCTATCATGCGTCTATCGTCTTATAGCCGTCTATGATCGTCTATCATGTTTGTCTGTACTAATCGTCGTGGATTAGTGGGATACTAAACTCTGAGTTACTTTAACTCAGGATTTAATCCATGTCTCATGAACCAAATTTATACTGGCAGTTTACTAACTCAAGAGTTGTTGAGTTTAACTCAGAGTTAGCCTTAACTCAAGGTTTAATAGTTAATCCACCACTGTGGAACCGGGTCCAGGAGTACGTTTCGGCAGTACCGTCTGCCGGGCCATAGACCCTTACTGCAATGTGTCTGTTACTCAGTACTACTAGCTACTACTAGCAGGGAGTAGTAATATAGCATATCAGGGTTCTCGCCAGGATGAAATTGAAACACCGGGGTGGAGGGGGAGGGGAAATAGGGGGGTCGGGGCCGTGGATCGAATCTACTGGCGCAAGCAAAGTCCCGCACCTGCAGCTACAACACACAACGATCTATTGACTACGTATTATTAACAACCATTATATAATATGTTAGTATCTATACTATATACTACTACTCTAACAACCTAACGCTCTATAACACTATAACTACATTATAATCAAGTTATCAACGTCCTGTTATATATAGCATAGATAGTTGCTTGTGCTTACTAGACTGCCGGTTCGCGGACTTGGAGCTGTTCTTGCTGCCAGGTTCGGAATCGAAATGGGCAAATATCTTGCGAGCTGGTGGCCCCTAAATGCCAGCTCAACCACCTTAGCTGCGTCTTAAAAGATGACACGTTGTAATCACAGCCCACCTTAGACTGGCGCGTCCCTTACTTAACACGAATTAATGTCAGACCGCAACTAGTTTCTTCTGTTTCTAATGTTTATAGCGTTAGTCGTGAATAACTCACGCTGAGCGCTGCGTACGACGGATTAAGCTCGTTTCTTAATGTACACGTGTAAATCACTCACCTAGCTGGGCGTTCTTAATTACACGTGTAATGCGACCGCTGCGTCTTAATGTACACGCTGTAATCAAACCACCTAGCTGCGCGTCTCTAAATGTACAACGGGAATCAAGCCGCCAAACCTAGTCCTGTCGTGAACTATAACTGTTACACGTGTAATCAATTCACGTAGCGGCGTTCTTAATGTACACGGTGTTGAGATCAACCACCTAGCTGCGTCTTATGTACACGGGTGTAATTGAACTAACCTAGCTGACGTCTTAATGTAGACGTGTAATTCATGATGGCCAGTCCTAGCTGTTTACGTCATATAATGTTACCAGCTAATCAAGCGCACCTAGCTGTGCGTCTTTAATTGTCACGTTCGTAATCGAGACCAGCCTTAGCTGGCGCGGCGGTCTCTACAGTGCGTACAGCGTGTTAATTCATATAGTCCCAGGGCTGCGTTCCGTAAGTGGTTTCACGTGGTAAGTTTTCAACACGCACCTAGACCTGGCGTTAATGTGACAAGTATTTATCCATCATCAGAGGCCGACAGTTAGCTTGACAGGCTAATGCTGAACAGGGTAGGAATACAGATAAAACGCGCGGTGACTATAGGCTGTATACTTTTGATTGTGTGTAATTAGAATTACAACCATGCCTACCTATTGCGAGCGTACTTTAACAGTCGAACTTTAATTAACTTTCCCCGTTTATATTTTGACGAATTCTTTGTACACGTTGTAATCAAAGTATTCACCTCTAGAGACTGGGCAGCTGTGTCTCTAATGATTCCTCGTGTTGTTACATCATATAAAAAAACCCGACATTTATGGTTCTCGGCTTCAGCTCGACTGTCTCAATGTATACACGTGTAGATCGATACATTCAGCGCCGCGCTCGAACATAGTGTGATATCTTTCGGCTGAAACAGGACTAGACAGTTATGTCAGTACTGCAACCTCTTTGAAACAGTCGGTTTTCTCAACTCGTAAGACGTAGATTCGCTTTCGTAATCACACTTCACTACCCGCTCGGTTCGCCTTCAATGGTACACGGTTTAATCAACTCCGCTCTAGCTGGTCTTTAATGGGACGACGGTGTAATTCCTAAGATAGCCGCACCCTAGCTGCGTCTTTGACTGGCATGATATGTGGTATACCCCAGCAGACCTATGGTCTACCCGTTACTTTCAACATTGTCACGACGGGTCGATGCAGAGATGGGCCCACGCTTAGGCGTGTGAGTTTCGTAGAGTGGGCTTAACACGGATGGTGATCAAGGGGTCCCATCTTAGCATTCTGATGGCATTAATCTCTTTTAAATAATGACTAGCAGTGTAATCGTCAATTACCATACACCTCAATTTATTTGCTCAATCATTGAACGGGGAAATACCGTGCTTAATGTACACGTGTAGTCAACCCACCTTAGCTGCGTTTAATGTACACGTGTGAATCAAAGCATACGAGCCTTAGTTGCCGAAGTTAATAACGCTACTCTCATATCGGGATTAACAACGGTGACATCAGCCCACCTTTTAGGGCTGGAGACGTTTTTGCTTAATTATCACGATAATCATCCGACTTTAGATGCATGCTGACTAATGTCTGTCGGTCGCGTTCTAAGTTTCACCGAGTGAGTGCAAAACCTAACTCAGGATCTGTCTTCACGCTTAGATTGCTCTACTACTATTCTCAGTGATCTAACTATGGGCACATGCCTCGCACGGCCTGGCGGTTGATTTAATTGTGTTATTCTTATTGTATATCAATAGACATCACCTAGCTGGAGGCG